CTCTAGGGCATTTCGTCAATTCACTCATTTAAAAAATAATAAAATCGTAAAGTGGGACGGGTTGTCACACTTCATTTACAACGCTTGTGGCTTGTCGTTACTACTTATCTTTTAGTTGGAATTGATATTTCAAAATGAAAAAATTATTTTATTTTCGACACGTCTGTGTGGTCACAAATACTTATATGGTCGTCGAATATACTTTCGTGATGATTTTCTTACAACCAAAACATTATGTCGAAAATGATTTTCCAACAGTAAAATGTTGTTAACAAGAGCACACAATCGTCACAATTACAATTACTGACAATTAAGAATTGTTGAAAATACGCATATTTGTGAGGGTCAAAAGTCGTTGGAATTATACATTTCCCTTGATCCTACTTTGTCGACAAAAATAAAAGGATGCAAATACAATTTTTTTTTAATTTAATAATATTTTCTATGCCAATTTTTATTGAAAGAATTGTTTTATATTAATAATCATATATTCAACTACATATACAAAAAAATCAATGTAAAAATTTTACAAGTACTTGTTACAATCCTATGATATGTCTTATAATGCTAGTTTTTCATGTCCACTTTAACCAACTAACAAGGCAGAGCTTGACGATCTCATCAGTGGATATATCGAGAAGAGCATCCAAATCGACGCCTCTACTTGCGTTGTACTTTGAGTTTCCACCCTTCTCTATCAGATTACCAACCTTATCAACATGACATAACAACTTGAATCCCACCTCTTCTTCCATAGCCATCTTGTTACTGCTTCCAATATTTTCAGGCCCGGGATTAGAAGAATAATTCCTTTAGTGATAATTTGATGCATTAAGGCCAGGCCCAAAGCCCCGATGAGCAATAGGGTCCACTTTTGTAGGTATACCAGTTCCGTGACTTGATCCCCCTGAAATTTTGGTAACACCAGAGTTAGCTACATCTACCTTAGGGTTATCCTGAAGACAAACTGAAATAGACAGAAGTGCTTTCTTCACAACTGAAAAGTCTCATGTTATGTGCATATCAAACCAACAAAAATATAGCTTTGAGTAATGCATTAGCACAACAAAACCAAAACATGTTATTTGCATCCCCATGGTAGGTGAAGCATGCTTCTTGCATAGTGTTAACAATCATTGTCTTGTTTGTATTTATTAACCCTTTTCACTGCCCTTGGGTAGGTTTTCAGTTAAAGTCCTACCCTCTTTGCCTGGATGAAAGCATCTAGTAATTGTAATCATGTCTCTATAGTTTTATAGAAAATTCATAATGTGGTCTTCCTCATTCATTCATATTTTTAATAAGATATGAAGAGCACTCGTTGACATTTAGGTCTAAGCACCAATACCTAGTACATCATTGTATTTAGAAGAACTTCGGTGGGACTTACACATCACACCAAGTCATTATGCAGACATGACAAGTCTAATCACTCAAAGAAATTCATTTCTTCATATAAAGATACTAAACCAATAACTTTGAAATAAGCTACCTAAAAAGCACACAATTACAATGTACCAACATTTCTATCATCTCCAATGCAAGTAAACAAAAGCAATCTAAATCGGAAAAAAGAAGCATTCTTTACTTGAATCAACTCATCTGCAAGGAATGTACATGGTGGAATCTGGTATATGGGCAAAATCCTAATGTGGGCTCTGTTGATGCACAAAACCGGAGGTCTTGGAACAACATAAATCCATCCGTGAATCTTTAAGAAATGTAAATAACACAAGATGTATCGTGGTTCACCCCAAGGTTTTGGGCTACGTCCACACTAATTATGTATTTATCTGAGAAGTGAGGGAGAGAGATTCAGAGCCTTTGAATGAGAGAGTGAGGTCTCTGATGACCTAGGAATTGGCCTCCCTTAATTGTGAGGGTGAGGGGTCCTTTTATAGAATAAGGACTCCTCACTTATTACATATTTGCTCCTTCCTTTATTACATAATTACATTTAAGTCCCCCGAGTATTTATACGAGGTCTAAATACGAGGCCCTAAATATGGTATAAACAGTAGTCCCCCAAGTCTTCAGTCAAGAGAGTCTTTTGGCTGGAGACTTGAAATTCAGTCCATGTGTGGGCCGAAGTAACTAGATGTTGTCTTGAACTGATGCTCGATATGAGGCGGTGCTCAATCTGAAATGATGCTCAACTAGAAGTAGCACACGTTGCGAGGATGCTTGGCTCGTGGCTTATGTTGCCTTGGTTGGCTCGGCTTGTGGCGTTTGAAGGTGAGGGAGTCCCTTTTATAGAATAAAGGCTCACTCCTCAATACATGGATGATGGGCTAGAGTCGATGCTCTCTAATGATGGTGAGGGAGTCCATTTTATATAATAAGGGCTTGCTCCTCAATACATAAATGATGGGTTAGGAGTAATGCTCGCGGTGAGGCGGTTGCTCAACTGGCGGCGATGCTCTCTAACGAAAGTGAGGGAGTCCCTTTTATAAAATAAAGGCTCGCTCCTCAGTACATGAATAATGGGTTAGAAGTGGTGCTCGTGGCGAGGTGATTGCTCAGCTGGCAGCGGTGCTCTCTAACGAATGTGAGGGAGTCCATTTTATAAAATAAGGGCTCGCTCCTCAATACATAAGTGGTGGGCTAAGTCCCCCACGTATTTTTCATGAGTGCTCTCTAATGAAAGTGAAGGAGTCTCTTTTATAGAATAAGGGCTCGATCCTCAATACATAAATAATGGGCTAAGTCCCCCAAGTATTTTTCATGAGTGCTCTCTAATGAAAATGAATGAGTCTCTTTTATAGAATAAAGGTTCGCTCCTCAATACATAAATAATGGCCTAAGTCCCCTGAGTATTTATACGAGGTCTAAATACGGAGGCCCTAAGTATGGTACAAACAGTAGTCCCCCAAGTCTTAAGTTAAGAGAGTCTTTTGGCTGGAGACTTGAAATTCAGTCCATGTGTGGGCCGAAGTAACTAAATGGCGTCTGGCGCTGATACTCGACATGAGGCGATGCCCAATCTGAAATGGTGCTCAACTAGAAGTAGCAAATGTTGCGAGGCTGCTCGGCTTGTGGCTTATGTTGCCTTGGTTGGCTCGACTTGTGGTGTTGAAGGTGAGAGAGTCCCTTTTTATAGAATAAAGGCTCACTCCTCAATACATAAATGATGGGCTAGAGTTGATGCTCGCGGCGAGGCAGTTGCTCAGTAGGCGGCGATGCTCTCTAATGATGGTGAGGGAGTCATTTTTATAGAATAAGGGCTCGCTCATCAATACATGAATAATGAGTGCTCTCTAATGAAAGTGAGGGAGTCTCTTTTATAGAATAAGGGCTCGCTCCTTAATACATAAATAATGGGCTAAGTCCCCCAAGTATTTTTCATGAGGCCCAGTTGAGGCCCAATATATGGTACATAATGTTGTCCCCCAAGTCTTCGGTCAATAGAGTATGTTGGCTGGAGACTTCAAATTGAATCCATGTATGGGTCGAAGTGGCGGTTGTTCAGAGGCGGTATTTGTATACCCTACACTGAAGCTTTGTAGGTGAAGCTTTGCAAGTGAAGCTTTGAAGCTAAAGCTCTGTAAATGAAGCTTTCGAAGCTGGAGCTTTTGTAAATGAAGCTTTTGAAGCTGGAGCTCTATAAATGAAACTTTTGAAGCTGATTGACATGAGTGATGCTCATGAATGTTTATGTTGATTGACATGAATGATGCTCATGAATGTTTATGTTGATTGACATGAATGATGCTCATGGATGTTGTCATGAGTGATGTTCATGAATGTTTATGTTGATTGACATGAATGATGTTCATGGATGTTGTCATGAGTGATGCTCATGAATGTTAACATGAGTGATGCTCATAAATGTTGACATGAATAATGGTTATAAATGTTTATGTATGATTGTCATGAGTGATGCTCATGAATGTTTATGTATGAATGACATGAGTAATGCTCATGTATAATTTGGAGTACTGGGCGTACTTTTGATCACCTAGTTGGTGGCATAAAGGAGAGTACGGGTTGTATATTTCATCACCTGGTTAGTAGCATGAATGGCTAGTTGCCAAATGATATTAGAGTACGAGTTGTACATTTCATCACCTGGTTGGTGGCATGAATGGCTAGTTGCCAAATGATATTAGAGTACGGGTTGTACATTTCATCACTTGGTTGGTGGTAATAGCGGCAGGTTGCCGAATAATTTTGGAGTACTGGACGTAGTTTTGGTCACCTGGTTGGTGCTATTTTGGGCTTATGGGCTTTTGCTCTCCACACAACATTCTAGCCCATTTATTTTGGGCTTTGCCGTGTTTTTTTTTTTTTTTTTTTTACTGTTACCCTCTGATGGGGTTTATACAGATATCTCCGAAAGATACGAAAAATAAATTACATCATTCAAAAATAAGAAAAGTAAATCACATTTTTTTTGGTGGGGTGTTTGTTCCTTGCTTTTGCAGTGTCCCCATGTGCCTCCATTTTGCTTTCTCTTTATTTTTCTTTGGTAGATGACAGACAAGGGAATAATGTCATTTCTTGTTTTTTGCTTTTGCTTTCGTTTTCTCTTTTCTTTTCTGTTTTGGCTCCACTTTTGCTTTCTCAGTTGTTACCACCCTGTAAAGAAAATGCAGGGAATGGGTCGCGACTGAGCACTTCTGGATGGGACTTCCTTCTCTTCTTTGTCTCGTTCACACCAATGCAGCAGAATAAGGCATCGATGAATTGATAGGTGACAAAGCGTTGATGGCAACCCTTTCTTTGGCAAATATTGGAGTTTATCACACTCCCTGATGACCAATTTGTGAAGCAAGGAGAGATTTCCGAGCCTCTCCGATATGGATCCAAGATCTGGAAGTCTTTGGATTATCAGGGATGTTATATTGTGGAGTTTGTGAAGCCTCCATTCATCTACAGGATTGAGCTTTTCACAATATGGTGGGTAGACCTTGCTTTTTCTTCTCACCTCAATCTCTCTTGCTCATCGAAGAGATAACGGAGGTGTCAAGGGGGCTCAATTTTCTTGAGCATGTTTGAAATCACAGAGGACCCGCAGTTGAACCCAGACTTCCGAGTCGAGATGAAATCGTTCGACACGCCACCGCCGTTGACGCCAGAGATGAGGTATCGGACGGAAGAAGTTGAAATGTCCTCCAGGTCCAGGTCATCTTTAATTTGGTTGTATGGGTTTTATGACCACAGGTGCAGCTCACACATGAGCAGCATGTGCCACACTTGCACTTTCCGTCGTGCTCGGAGGCAGGAGCATCCACGACGACGGTGTCCATGGAGCGGTTCTCAGTCTCAACGATCACCAAGTCGTAGCTATTTCCCTTCTTCACGCATTGGGTGCTGTCCGCACAGTCGCAGTTGTCGCACTTGCCTGACATGTTGCAGATGAACTTAGAACTTGGAACTGAAGTGTGTTTAGGGTTTAACTCGAATGGTATTTTGCTTGCTGTGCATTGTCCTTTTCCTCTTTCCATTCTCGCCTTCTGTCGTCCCTTTCAAATCTCACTTTGTGTTCATTTCAGCTCTTTGTTTCCTCACTTAACACCGTATCAGTGTAGCTGAGAAGTGTTGCACTGCTCCAGATTCCTTTTGTTTAAAACCTCTCAGGAAGCAGTGATTGTCGTCATGTGCTCTAGCAACTATAAAGAAAACAGCTTTAGGTACACTTACTTTCTGATGAAAATCTCAAGTTTTTTTGGAACAAGGTTCTGGGTTTCTGCAGATTCACGGCGGAGGTGAAAAATTGAGAGAGAACCGACACAACTTTTCATATCGATTCCCACAAACGACGCCAAATGTTGATGCACAAAACCGAAGGTCTTGGAACAACGTAAATCCGACCGTGAATCTGCAAGAAATGTAAATAACACAAGATGTATCGTGGTTTACCCCAAGGTTTTGGGCTACGTCCACACTGATTATGTATTTATCTGAGAAGTGAGGGAGAGAGATTCAGAGCCTCTGAGGGAGAGAGTGAGGTCTCTGATGGCCTAGGAATTGGCCTCCCTTAATTGTGAGGGTGAGGGGTCCTTTTATAGAATAAGGACTCCTCACTTATTACATATTTGCCCATTCCTTTATTACATAATTACATTTAAGTCCCCCGAGTATTTATACGAGGTCTAAATACGAGGCCCTAAATATGGTATAAACAGGCTCCACTTTCTTACCTAATCTTCTCCATAATCTTGCCCCCTCTCCCAAGCATACATCCAACATGGTTGCTCGCCACCAGCACACCCTACAACACACCGAGCCACCTCCGCCACTATTACCCTTTTCTGCTTCACCGGCGTTGTCCAATGCCGCCTTTCTGAAAACCCTTACCAAGGCTTGCTAGGCAATGGACAGACGAATCAATGGAATGAGCGACGGAGGTGAGAAAAATGGCGAAACCAAGGCTGAATTTATAAGGTTTTCAATGAAATTGGGGAAATTTTCTCCAAAAACAAAGCTTTTGATGGCAATTTTGAAGAGACAAATACATATTAATCTAGAAAAGTTAAAACCAAAGTTTACCCAAATTATAGATTGCGAAGTGTGGATGTGCAGGTGGATGGCTATTAGAGGCAAGTACCTGCAAATTCAAAACCAAATTTATAAAGAAAAAAGATAAAAATATGAAAAACATTCAACCTTAGAACATTGGCCGAAAAACGGTGGTCTCGTGAGTCTAAGAGATGAGGATTAGGTGTGGATTTGAGTTTTGTTGGAATGGATCTCTTAGGTTCTTGAATTTTCGATGGTGGGCAGCAAGCGACAATAAGAAGAGGCCATGGGTTGCGACAAAGTGATGAAGAGAGAGAAGCTGCGAGAGATTTTGAGAAATGAAGGATGGAGGCTAGGGTTTTGTTTTTGAAAGATGAAAGGCAGAGAAGTTGTGAGAGAGATGAAAATGAGGAGAAAGCACTAAGTGGCGTTCTCTTTGGAAATACAATTTAGTTTTTGGGTGCCATGCCAAAATTTGGGCAGCCCGCCAAAAACACTTTTATGATTTAATTGCTAAATTAAATTCAACGGTAAGGATTTAATCTCACATATGTAAGATTACATCTTATGGCTATTATTGTAGTTAAGATTTTAATAGTTTTTTAATTAATGTAGAAGTACAAAAACATATACAAACGCTTGTACTATCAAGCTCGACAACTTTTGTGAAAATGTCAATTCCGAAATTTGTTACTATAATCTCATAAACTATAGATTAAAATTTAACCGTTGTTGTTGAAGTGCAAAAAAAAAATATATATATATATATAATTGCTCGTAATATCAAGCTCGACCCTATAAAAGTATGATGAATGAATTTGATCTTCGATTTAAAATATTTGCACAAGTGGATACCACAAAATATTATGTTATACTTAATGAATGTATAAAATAAACTCCAAGTGTTTGTTGAATCTATCGTTTTGAAGGAATACACATTCCACAAAATTAGTTTCAATGATCTAACCGTCAAACTCATTTGTATATACTCCAAGATCGTATACATAGACATTCAGATATTAGGTAACGGGACAAAACATTTCGACAGTTATAAACAAAAACTCACTATTTAACGGTTATTTTAACTCTGATTTTGATGATTTTTTACAAATACAATCCTCAACCCTATAAGAGTACGATGAATGAATTCAATCTTCAATTTAAAATATTTGCACTAGTGGATACCACAAAATATTATGTTCTACTTAATGGAAGTATAAAATAAACTTCAAGTGTTTGTTGAATCTATCGTTTTAAAGGAATACACATTCTACAAAACTAGTTTCAACGATCCAACCGTCAAACTTGTTTGTATATGCTCCAAAATCACATAAGTAAAAAATCACCAAAAATGGACATTCAGATATTAGGTAACGGGATGAAACATTTCAATGGTTATAAACAAAAACTCATGATTTAACAGTTATTTTAATTTTGATTTTGATGATTTTTTACAAATACACTCCTCAACCTTATAAGAGTATGATGAATAAATTTGATCTTCAATTTAAGATATTTTCACTATGTTCTACTTAATGGAAGTATAAAATAAACTTCAAGTGTTTGTTGAATCTATCGTTTTGAAGATATACACATTCTACAAAGCTAGTTTCAACGATCCAACCATCAAACTTATTTGTATATGATCCAATATCGCATACGTAAAAAATTGCAAAAAATAGACATTTAGATATTAGGTAACAGGAGGAAACCTTTCGACGATTATAAATATAAACTCACAATTTAGATGTGGTTGTACTTTGTTCAATGTCCAGGACAATTGTTATGAGTTAAAAAAGGCATGCCAATTATCTCTTTATCATAGAATACTATGTTAAATTATACACCATTTTGCTCAATGGTTTTATTTTAATTTTATGGTCCAATCTTCTCCATATGTATTCTAAGTTATATGATCTATTTATTGTAGAATTTAAATTAAGCATTAAACTTATTTCAAGAATATTCCAACGACACATGTGACCATTAGTAAATAATTAATTCCAACAAAACCATATGCCTTAAAAATTTATTCTGACAAAGAAAAAAGTTTGTTTGAAAAAATATGATTATTTCCGACAACAATTAATCACCCTCGAAAATATAAAGGCATTACCGAGAGCACTTTTTTCCCCTAAAAAATATAAAAACATTACCAAGGGGACTTTTCCCCCTAGAAAATACTAAATCAATTTCGTCAACATGAGTAAACCTTCAGAAATAACCATTCTATTTCCAATAAAAACTTTGCTCATCGTTAATACAACTGGAGCCAATTCTTCCCGCCAAACAAAAGTGCATTTCTGACGAAACTTGAGACTTTTTCTGTGTCCATTATGTGCGTTGGTAATAAAAATTTGTTTCATGTCATATTACCGACGACCTGTATTTTATGGTCGCAAAATGTGCTTTTTATGACGGTTTTTTTAGGCCCTCGGAAAATCTTCATCGGTAATGACTACTTTTTTTGTAATGTTGATACATTTAGATGACCAAACAATCTTTGATTCGAATAATTTTTTTTTGGAGGGGTGATCTTCAAATGAAGATTAACAAGTTGAACAATTTTAATTATAAATTTTGCATGATGAATATTTTGTTCGTAAAAGGTGAAACATGTGCCATTGGAAACGCAAGTATTATTTTATTGATCCCATGAAAGCCCTTGTAATCATAAATCTCCTGACACATCATTGTTTAGATAAAATGTAACAATGATTGATGATTTGGTATTGTTGTGCTTTGAAAAAAAAAAAACTACTTCTGATGCTGTGAGAATAAGCTCATTTTTGCTGCTTCACATTTTCAGCTTTTTTTTACCCAAAACTGTGACAATAAGCTGTTTTTAAATGTTTACCAAACACCTTTTTTAGCTTAGTTTTTTTTAATATACCCACTTTTTATAAAAGCATCTCAGTAACAAACCAGTTCTAAGTGTCAAAAGGTTCAAACATGTTCTCGCAATCCATTATTCATATTGTTTCCAATTTTTTAGGTGTGAAGTCTTATTCAAGTATCAATGCAATTAGTAACGTTCCCATTCGATCAATATAAAGGAATTTAACTTCAAGATGTTTATGTTGTAGGACATATGCTTCAATATCTTAAAGCAGTTCCACCGGAACACCATTAGGCCGGCACCCAGTAAAAAAAAGGGGCCGGGACTCAATCAATCCACTCCAGCCTGTTCAATTGCCAGGCACCCAGCCCAAGTTGGTCTCCAGACCAGCCTAGAATTGACAGAGCCAGGGACCGGGCCATTAGCGTGAGTTTTTTGGGAATGGCACCGAGGAAACGCAAGACGACTGAGCAAGAAGAAAAATAGCTGGTGGCGCCGGCAAAATCAAGTTGGTGACCCGTTGCCTGACGCCCTCATCTTCGCCTTCCTCCTCTTCCTCACCTACTCAATCTTCATTGGCACCGTCGACATCCGATCCTACTTCCTCCCGCTCTTCCCCTCATCGCTGCCTCTGGTTGTCCAGTCCCTCTGCGCCACCACCTCCCCGCCTCTCAAGGTCTACATGTACGATCTCCCACGCCGCTTCAACGTCGGAATTATGAACCGCCAGAGTGAGCTGGAAAAGAGAGAGAGAGAGAGAGACAGAGAGAGAACCAATTGGGGATGTAGAGGGGAGAGTATAAAGGGTAGTGGAACCTGAAAGCCACCTATCTTTCAAAGGAAAGAGAGCGCAGATTCGAGTCCATGAGGAGTGAAGGACGACAGAGCGAGAAAGACGAGGTGGCGAGAGGGATGTGAGAAATCAGAGAGAGAGAGAAGCGTGACAGATTGAGAGAGAAGAGGTTCTTGACTTTTTTATTTTTATTTTTATATATATATAAAATTATTATTTTTATTATTTTATAATAAAAAATAATAATATTTTAATAAAATTGACTAGACCATTTTTTGTTAGGGGTGAAGATACTTTGGCTTAT